GGATGTCTCAGCTGGTCTTCAGTATACACTGGAATCCTGAAGAAGTAGGCTGTAAGGCCAGTGGAGGGATGGACTTGCCAGAGAGAGAGAGAGAGAGAGAGGACAAGCAGGCCAAGAGCAAGGACTTCCTTCCTCCACGTCCTCTACATAGGCCACCAGAAGATGTGGCCCCGGTTAGACGCCGGTCTTCCCACTTCAAATGATTTAATTAAGAAAAATACCTCACCATTGTAGCCAACCATTGGATTTTAGTTCATTCCAAATGTAGTCAAGTTGACAGCCAAGAATAGCATCACGCTGTCGGGCAACCTGGATGTCAGGATCTCTGCCTCTTTAGAATGTGACCCCCTTGGTATTGCTGAAAAAGACACTGTCTCCCTTCCCTGTCTCCCAGGTGTCTTGAAGGTCACTGATTTGGGTGGTGGCTCAGCTGAAGAATACAATGTCAGCTTCCACTAACCCAGCTATTGCAGCTGGGTGCGCCATTGTCCCAGCGGCCTAGGCTGCTTTTCAGGGACTCCAGAGTCTTCTGCTTTTCTGAGGTAAGGCCTCACTGGGTGGCCTGGGCTGGCTTTGAACTCACTAGCCCCCTGCCTCAGCCTCCAAAGTGCTGGATTACAGGTGTGGGTTGTTAGGCCTGGCACTGAAGGATGGTTTTCTTCTGATAACATCGGCTCTTCCCTCGGGTCTGTAAACACAGGATAAGTGGCCAGACTGGCTGAGACGGTGCTCCAGCTTGGCCTTCATGTTCTGCCTCTGTTTTGCTTATCGACCTCTCCATCACCAAGAAATCTGCCCTGGACTATAACACAGGGCTAACTGGGTCTGGAATGGCAGGTTGCAGCCACCATGACCAGAAACACCTTAAAGGAGCAAAACAAAGCAGTTCTCCCAGGAGATGGCTGCCGGTCCCGGAGAAGACAGGAACACCCCTCCCTTTATTAGCATGTGTCTTTCCCTTGTTGTTCTCACCCTGTGTCTGTGATTCTTCATCCTGCTGGAGTCCAGGAGCTGATCTGCAGGTATGATTCTCTTTGGTCCATCCTGTGGCCACTGAATAAGGCCATTGCCATTCCTAACACTTGTCCATGGACGTTATTTTCCAGGAGGTGAGTTCCCTGTGAGTCTCAGTTTCCTTCCCCTTCAGGGTCTTTGTGAGGTTAGATGCCGGCTCTGCTGATCCTCCCTGTTGTGTTTATGAGTGCGCAGCCCAGACTGTGTCTACCCTAGGGTGATAGTATTCACACAAGGCACAAGGCACACTGCTTGTGTCCTCAGCCCGTCTGTCTCCTGCATTACTTTGTGCAGTGGGAACTGTATTTCTTGTGTCCAGACTTCTGAGTGGGCTTGGCCAACTCATGGGCGCTAGAGAGAGATTAGAGAATGGCCGGAAGTGTGTGCTAGGGAGTCCCTCCTCTTCCTTCGCTTCCTGTAGCCACTCTGGATATGTCTGGGTCTCTCTGCCTTCCCAGTGCCTGTTCAGAATCCAGTGGCATCTGCCTGGCTAAAGCTGGGACCCTTGCTCAGAGTCCAGTGGCGGCTGACCGGCTGTGGCAGGGACACAGTCGGTTCCACATACTAACTAGTCACTTAACATCTCCCTGTGTTTCATCATCTCAATAGCCCTGAGATGTTCTGATCATTAGCCCACTTTGCAGATGAAAACATTGAGTCTCAGAGTAGTGACTTGTCTGCTACCATCTGCTGCCAGTCAGTGGAACAGCCAGAAAGAGACCCCAGGTCGCCTGTGTCTAAGGCCATGGCCATTGTCCTAAGCCAGAGTGGAGCAACTGTGCCGACCTGGCTCAAGTCTCACTTCTATTAGCCAACTGTGACCCCAACCACCAGGCCCACCCTAGCTCCCAACACTGCAGCCCCAAGAAGCGCGAATCAGCCCCCCAAATCCATGGCAGTTACTTGTGACAGACACCCGGCTTATGCCGCAGCAAGCTGCCGTGGCTTTGATGGGAGACCAGATCCCATGCAGGCACTTCCAGGATGTGGCTTGCTTTGAACAGATCACTTGGCATAAAGGAGAAGAGAAAGTGAAGGGGTGGAGGAGGCAGAAAAGGGAGAGGGCGAAGGGAGAGGAAGCCCCCGATTTCACAGAGTCCAACCCCACAAGACAGTCTCTGATGACCAGGCAAAGGCTTTGAAAAATGGAGGGCAGTGCACAAACCCACTCTCTGAAAGTGGGGGTGGATCCTGGCAGATATCACATGGGGAACCCTGCTGTGGAGCCAGGGGGACCTCGAATGAGTTCAGGTGATGAAAAATATATAAAAGTTAATAGAGAGCTGTCACACTGTCTTCTAACTCCCAGTGGGAATCCTCGGGGCAGAACGCACCGGGCTGCTGCGTCTTCGTGCCCAGCCACACTCCACGCATCTTGAGAGGTCGTTCAAAGTTGAGGAACATTCTCTCAGCTTGGGATGAAAGAGTCTTCGTCTTAAGTGTGCCATGCAGGCATCTTGGTTTGAATGGCTCTCTTGCTATTCCTTTCCTTCTATCAGATCCCCAAATGCCTGCTGGCGACAGGGGATAAAACCTGTAGTAAGAATCACAAAGTGGGGTGTGCGCCTCTGGTTAGAAAAGAGGGGTCCTGTGAATGCCCCAGGAAGATTGCCCTTCAGGACCCACATCTGGGTCGAGTTGCTTCCGTGTTGAAATCATTTGCTTCCTTCTTCCTGGTGCTGAGCAAGTCAGAAAGCACTGGTGAGCCAAGCAGGCCCTGTGTATTCCCATCCCTGGTCTTTGCTCAGTTTACCCTGGACCACTGTCCCCTCTGACTGCCCAGTTCCATGTGAGCTGCATTCCTCCCCCGTTTCCTAAGCACATCCGTCTCTATTGTCACAGCTGCAGGCTCTCAGCACGTTCATCTCCCTTTCCTTAGATGTCCCTTCAGCCTGCTGATTGCAAACCTGACTCTTCCACACTGTCTGGTCTCAGGGCTGGCATGCTGGGTTCCATCCTTCTCCAGAGAAGACGTCTATTTTTTTTTCTAGTTTTCTGAGAGACTATCTTTCTGTCTCTTTGAGAGAGCCCACAACACAGAGTTATTCATTATCTATCTCTTTCAGTGGCCTCTCATGCCCAGTCCCAGGATTCAAAGAATCATGCGTTTATGTCTTCTGTGTCCTGGTGTCCGGGCATGGTGCAGGGGCTCTAGATGTATTGGTGGAACCCATGGCTCACCGGTGCAGGGAAGGAAAGTGGAGAAACAGAGCCGGGAGATGTTGCAAGATGTCTGGAGAGAACCACATTCCTGGGAGGCAGAGAATGCAGTCGGCAACTGGGAGATAGGTGGAGGAGGGACCAAGCACGGCGTTCCAACTGTCTACGGATGCCCTACCCTCTACTGGAAAATGCAGTGCATATAAATGTGTGGGTGTGTAGGCTGGAGTCTGTCTTTTCACTTGAGTCTGTGTCTGCAACTGGTGACATCAGCTCCAGGTGCATTTGCCCCACCTGGTCATATTTCCTCACCTGTCCTGCGATCACACAGATGGAAATATTGCTAAACTATGACAGAAGAGCCTAGGGACAGCCTGTCACTCAGAACAGATCCTGCCGTTAGTGACCTGTACCCCGTGATTGTAGTTTTGAACAATACTTACGTATCCATTGTTTAGAGATCGTGGCCAACAAAGCGACTCAGAGCTGATGTCATTTATCTGTGTGAATGAAGGGGAGGGGGAGAGCAACAACCAAGGACTTCTGTGTGGCAAGTCTACTTCTGCCAAGGTCAGAGGTCAACAGATAAGTGCCTGGTAGATAGGTGAGAAGTGGACTATTTGAGCCCAGGAGTTGATCACCAACACTTAAACCGGAAACAATTAAATGGCAAGGGAGCTGCCTCTGGGGCTTGAGGGGGGGTTGTTTCAACTGTAAGCCAGACAGCACTATACATTTTTAGAAAGTCATGCATTCCTATAACTTTGATATAAATTATTATTATTATTATTATTTGGTTTTTCGAGACATGGTTTCTCTGTAGCTTTGGAGCCTGTCCTGGAACTAGCTCTTATAGACCAGGCTGGCCTCTAACACATAGAGATCCACCTGCCTCTGCCTCCTGAGTGCTGGGATTAAACACATGTGCCACCATCGCCAGGCAACCTATTTTTAATTTACTATGTCGTCCTGGCTGACCTAGAACTTGCTACATAGAACGAACTGGCCTGTAACTAGCAGAAATCTGCCTGCCTCTGTCTCCTGAGTTCTGGAGTTAAAGGTGTGTGCCACCATGCCTGACTTCAGATATTTAATTGTATGGCTCTGTGATTTAGATACAATTAACAACTTTGTCGTATTTCCCTAGGTATAAATTCTTTCTGAAATGAGATCTGTGACAGGACATCAGAGAGGCCAGCTGAGGTTGAGGCAGGGGCCGGATGCCTTAGCAATCTGGAACAATCTGGGACCTGTTTCTCTGTTGGTCCCCCAGGCTCCCAGGCTGGCTGTGTCACTCGGTGCCTGTTTGACATTGTCCTCCAGTCCCGCACCAGCCCAAGCTCTGGGTCTCTGTGATGGTTAATTTTCATTACCAACTTGACTGCACTGGACCACGGGCGTGTCTGTGAAGGCATTTCCAGAAGGCAAGAAGATGTCCTGAATGTGGGAAGCAGCCTCTCAGGGGTTGGGGGTCCCAGGCTGAGTGGGAGAAGCAAGCTGAGCACCAGCGTTCACCCCAGCTTCCTGGCTGTGACGGAATATAAGCAGCTTCCTCAGGCTCCTGCAGCCGTGGGGGAACCATAGCCACTAACACCTCCAAATGAGTGCTGTCCTCTCAGAACCCTTGAGGTCCCTCCAGTTGGTGTCCAGCTGGTGTATTTCCTGCCCTGTTTTGGCTTCTCCGATGCCAGTATGATTGAGGAAGTTCATTGGTTAATAAAGAAACTGCCTTGGCCCATTTGATAGGCCCTTAGGTGGGTGGAGTAGACAGAATAGAATGCTGGGAAGAAGGGAAGTGAGCTCAGATGCCATGCTCTCCTCTCCAGGCCAGATGCGATGAAGCTCCGACCCTGGATGGACGTAGGCTAGAATCTTCCTGGTAAGCTCACCTCATGGTGCTACACACATTAATAGAAATGGGCCAAGCAATGTTTATATGAATACAGTTTGTGTGTCGTTATTTTGGGTCACAAGCTAGCCAGGTGGCTGGGAGTTGGGTGGCAGGAACGCAGCCCCACAGCTCCTACTACACCAGTCCCTGTTCTTCCAGCCTAGACCCCCTCCTCTGAGAAGGCCAAGGTCCTGGGAATGGAAATGGGGGACTTCCTCTGGTGAGTGCTGAGGTCCTCTGAGGAGGTCCTACTGCTTTTCCAAGGCTGGGCCCTGCCTCTCGGCCTTTGTGTTTCCTGATGCCATGACTTCTCATGGTGCACCAGGCAGGCAATGGTCTGAGGAGGACGGGTGTCACATGCCTTTACAGACGTGTAACCCACACTCCTTTCCTTCCTCTTCCGGTCCCTCTCCCACTCACCCTCTACTTGCCTTGCATAGGCTGGTCTCCGTGACCTTGGCTGAAGGGAAAAGGACGTGGCCTGCTCTTCTGCAAACCGCTCAATGTCAGGTTTTGCCAAGGGGGCTTTCTCTTATCTCCCTCTCTGCGTCCTCAGAATGATATTCAGCTGGTTTCAATGTGGGGATTAATCTAACCCAAGTGAACCACCTACCCCTCTGCATGGAGAATCCTCTCAGGTCTGTTGTTTATCTGTCTTCCTCCTACCCCACCCTAATCTTTGGAGCTTAAAGGGCTTAAAATGCTTCTTAGGCCTGGAATCATTCTTATAAGGCAACTATTGATGAGCTAAACAGGAACGATTTCAAAAGTTAGTGTGAGAACTTTGCTCTCCAATTCCACTGACACGCAGCGGACAGGAGAGGAAACTTGTCCTCTCCTTGTCCCCTTTCCTAACATCCGCGGATGCTTTCTTCCCAGGGAGAAGAGGGCCACTGTGATCCTTACATGTGCCAGCCCATCCCTCTACCTACTCATCCGATCAAACTGTGACATCCAACAAGACTGATCACAGCAGCTTAGCCCAAGGGTTGGGTGCTAACTCAGCCTAGGGGATGTGTCCTCCCCACTGTCCTCCCCACCGTCCTCCCCACCATCCTCCCTATTTGTGGCACAACCTCTGATCAGAAGCAGGTCCTCCTCACTGCTCAGGAGCTACTTTTGCTGATGTTGTTTCTTTTCCTGCTTACAACCCGAGTAGGGAAGTTTCTAGCTGAGAAAACAGGGCTCTGAGAGGGAAGAGCCTGCCCAAGAGCTGTCAGTCAAGAGGCACAGCACCAGGTCTCAAGGTTCTGACTTGACCGCCTTCCTGTGGCCCATCATAGTTGGGCTATTTCAGCGGGGGAGAAGACCATTGTGGGCAGTGATGGAGGGCAACCATGGGCAGAGTGTGAGCTTGCTGACGTACCAGGAGGATCTGTGGTCATTCCCAAATGGAACCTATGGCAGCCTCATGTACTAGGAGACAGAAGGACCCTTGGACAGGGTGTCTCTGCTGAGACGAACTTGCATGAGCAATTTACACGAGTGCGTGAGGAACGAGAGTCACGCTAGCCATGTTAGAGTCGATGCTGCACACGGGAACAGGTGACCGCCACCTCTTCTTGCGGGAAGTGTAGGCTCACGACTCAGCCACCCTATGCTTTCTTTCATGCTGTGTCTTTGCCAGGCTAGAACTGACTGAGGAAAGGGACCCTGCAGCCTCCGTGGGGGGGGGGCAGTTTTAGAGGGAAGCTGAAGACACAAGTTCCAAGGGGACAAAGTGAGGCTGCAGGCAGCAGCTTTCCAAACACTCACTTGCTGGGGAAGCCGGAAGCCTCCTTTCCAGTGTCTGCCCAGTCTCACTTCTTCATAAGGCCAGGCTTGGCATGAAGCAGACAGGAGAGGTGCAGAAATCAGGGCAGAGACCTGACTCCCCACTCATGAGGATTTTCCCCAGTTTAGGGGGCAGCACAGCCCCAGGCTGTCTATCCTCTAAATCATCTACTCAGGGACCACAGAATACACAGTGGTGTCCTGAGAAAATAATAATGGGCATGTCCTCCACCCCAGAATCCCTACAGGGAGACTTTCCGTCCCCTAGACAGGGATTAGGGCTGATAAATCAAACATCAGGATTCAGGATACACACATTGCACTGGGGGCTACACACCACACACACATACACACATCACACACACCACACACACACACACACCACCACACACAGACACACATACACACCACACACACACATGCACTCTACACACACACATACACACATACCACGCACACCAGACACACATACACACCACACACACATACACACCCATACACACATGCACACACATACACACCACACACACATACACACACACCACACACACGCATAACACACATACACACATACCACACAAACATAACACACCACACACACCACACACACACATACACACATGCACACTCATATGGCTTGTCAGGGTAAAGAAGATCCACCAGCCTCTGCTTAGGCACCGACAGGTGTCAATGGCAGGAAGGGGCCTGCAATAGGTCCTTAGGCTAGAGAAGGGAAGGTTCACACTGGGAGTATTTATCCTGGGACTTGTTGTCTGAGAGATGAGATTGCTACTTTTAGGAACCGCCATCACCTTCTTGAGTTTTGTCAAATCTTGGGTCTTTCCCAGCTCCCCAAGGCACTTTCTGAGAGCTCTTCACCCAGCAGGACTGCTCTGCGCTTTTGGGGTTTCTTAGCATTGTCCCCAACTTCTCCCACTTTGAACCTCCAGCAGCTTGCTTATGGGTGACCATGAAGAAGTCAGGACACTACTGAATGTTCTAGATGAGGAGCTAGGTCAATCGTCCGCAGCTCAGAATCCCCAGAAAGACAAAGACTGAGTCATCCTTGTGTTTGACTACGGATGCCCCAGTGGGTTCTTGCTTCCTGCCGGCCATGAATTCTCCACCTGGCCTCAGCTGGTCCCGACCCTCCCTGCCCTGCGCCAGCCAGCCTAGTCTCCCTACTCTGCACACACACACTCACTCGCTAGGTTTTCCCAGCCCTAGGTTTGCAACGTCCCTCGTGCTTCTTCAACCCCCAGAATCCACACCGCTCATTTCCTCTCATGTTCAGGTGTGTTGTTGAGCTTCAGGTTGAATCCATCCACCCTGGAGGGAGCAGAGAGAATCATCTCCCTGGTGGTGTCTTCTGGGGTTAAGTTATATAATGAGTGACCACTGGCCTGGCAGAGCCACTCTGTGGAGCTGCCTGTAAGTCGTGCAGGAGGCTTGAAGACACAGCCTCTCTGAGCATTCGCCTATGCCCGGGGTGGGCTTTTTGGTGACGCAGTTGCTCATGCCATTTGTCACTGCTCACCCCTGCTCCTGTCACCAGATAAACTCATTGGTTAGATGGGAAAGCCAAATTGAGAATGATAAGGAGGAGGGTGGAGTCTGTGGAGTCACCAGGAGACACAGAAGGAGCAAGACATGCTGGAGGACAGGTAAAACCATGAGCCATGTGTCAATACATAGATGAATAGAAACGGGTTAACTTAAGTTATGAGAGCTAGTTAATAGGCCTGAGCTCAGTCGAGCATTTATAATTGATATTAAATCTCTTGTAGTTATTTGGGAGTTAAATGTCTCCATGGTAGGGTCTAAGAGGCATCGGGAGGTGGGTCATGAATCCTTGTATTGTTTTTCCTGTTGTGTGAGGTGAGAATGAAACAGTAACAAGAGTTAATTTAGACAGGGCACACATGGAGGAGAGGTGACACCAGTCCGTCTCATGAGACTAAGGACTTGGCTTTGAACTGCTTAGTTCCAACTTCGGTGACAAAGTCATGGGCTGGCTTCTCCCGCCTCCCCCTCAAGCTGCACACTTAGAGTGAGGCTATGACCACAGAAAGCCAGCCAGGGTACACACAGGGTGAGGTGACCACCACAGGAAGCCATCCCGTGTACACGGGATGCCCGTGTACATCCCAGGGCAGGGAATGCTTCTTTGATCAGTTTGAGTGATATGAGGCCAGGCTGGTCCTTGGGAGACTTAGGATTGCACTGGGAGCAGGAAAAGTCAGAAAGATTTGAGCAGGGTGGGAACACTAACGGCAAAGGGATTCTAGAAGACCGGGGGTTAGGAGGAGCTGAGTTCCAGGCAGCGCTGATCCCAGAGAGATGAAAGCAGGCAGGAACATTGGGCTCCTGATCTTCATTTACACTGCTCTTGACGCTCAAAACTCTTGTCCGTCCTCCATGGTATTTGATTCTCACAACACAGTAGGGCAGACATTCTTTCTCAGTGACCAGGAAAGGGAGGCCTGGGGAATACAGATGGACATAAAGGATGGTGAGGTGAGACAGGACCCGATTCTAAGCCAGGTCCTCTGACTCTAAATTCACTCTGATTTTTCAAAGACCAGGAATGTGATGAAAAACACGTTTGATACCATTGTAGTAACAGCCACCATTTGTTGCGGGCTCCGATGTGCCAGGCGCTATGCTAAGAGCCTTGAAGTCATCCGTGTGTTTCACTGTCACCATGTCCCTGCGAGGAAGGTCCTCTAATCCTCCACTGTGTGCAGGTGGGGGAGCCGAAGCCCAGAGAGATTAAGACACTTGCCCACGGGGTAGAGCCGTGATTGGAACCGAGATGAATCTGGCTTCAAATCTGTGTGTGTGACCTTTGTAATATTTTGCCTGCTCCTCAAAGAGGATGACTCCGGGGGTCCGTGTCCCCACGACCTGAGGCTGTTTGAAAAGACGAGAAGAAAAGGAAAGCGGCTCTCCACACCTTCAGCTTAACTGAGCTGCAGCCAGCATGCAGCTTCCTTGGGATGGATGGGTAAGGAAGAAAACTGACGGAGCACTGGGTACACGGTCCACAGGCAGCCCGCTCAGAGGAGGACTTGACAGGGTGCCAGCAGCCACCTACTGTCCCCCAATGCCTAGGTAGAGTCACTGTGCCAATATCTTCCTTGTGGAGGCTGTATTGAAGGCAGCTGTGGTGGCTTGCATTTGAAACACCTCCACAGCCTTGTGTTCAGGAAATTCAGTCCCCAGGTGCTGGGACTGTTTTGAAGGTCATGGGGCTTTTTAAGAGATGGGGCCTGGCTGGTAGAAAGAAGCATTCGGGGCGGGCCCCTGGTCCTGGCCTGTGTTTTCTACTTCTAGAACAGCCACCATGTGAGCGGGTGCTCCAGCTAGTGGCCCCACTACTAAGGACACAGCGCTCCTTCCTGCCTCCCTGCCAGGACAGGCTGAAAGCCCTCTGAAGCTCGGAGTCACAAACAATCTTTCCCTCCTTGCTCTAGTCAACTGTTGGCTCATAAGGACCCAAACCTAAGTGAGAAGGTACCGTGGGGGTCTCTGATTTCCAAGCAGTGATTTGAGGATGGGTACATTTCCACTGGGTACCCAGAGGGACCTGTTCCCCAAGTGTCCTTGGAGAGTCTGTCTTCTAGTGAAATGGAAGAACCAACCCATGAATGAGCACGCTCACAGTTCTTCCGTCATATCCTATGGGCTAGACTCAGGCTCAGGAGAGCCTCTGGGGTCATGTAACCTACTTTGGAAGGTCCCCGTGTCTACTTTTGCCTACACCCATCAGTCGCTCTGTGGACCAGGTGGAGGGTAAGGAGTGGGTGAGCCTGCTACCCTTGCAGTTGCTCCACCAGCTAGGAGGAGGGCGAATGCCATAATGGATGTGTTCATATCTCCCACTAGAAGGTCCAGAAAAGAAGATCTGTGGCTTCATGTAGGTAAGCTACGGAATGGAAGAATTTATCTCTGCCTTCTGTGTATTCAGAAGAAAGAGAGGTTCTCACCCAAGTAAACTGTTACCATAATCTTTGAAGGCCAGCTATCCCTGTCCAAATCTTTCCCTACAACCCACTGCCTGGAAGACCCTGGGTCTCTGGGCCACAGCAATCGTGTGAAGAATGTGGTGACTCTTAGTAGATTTTGATGAGGGAGAAGTGAGTGCTAGGCCCAGCACGGTTTTGATACAATGATTCCTCAGTAAACGTTAGTGCTGTCGTTAGAAGGAACCGGAACCCTCCCTCAGCCAACTACCCCTCAGCTGCAGGCTGAATACTTGAGGACAGGTGACAGAGCCTCCAGGGGACAGAGTCTCCAGAGGACAGGGGACAGAGCCTCTAGGGGACAGGGACAGAGCCTCCAGAGGACAGGGACAGGGCCTCCAGGGGACAGGGGACAGAGTCTCCAGAGGACAGGTGTCAGAGCCTCCAGGGGACAGGTGACAGGGCCTCCAGGGGACAGGTGGCTGGAGAGATGTGCTCTCCCGTGCAGTCCCCAGATCTTTTCACAAGCTGTTTTCTGGGTGATGAGGGCTTAGATGAAAGGGACTAACCCTGATGGCTTACAGCATCGTGTTTCTCTGTGTCCCTGGCAGGTGTAAGGAGCCATGTCAGCTTTGAAAAGGCAGATTGGGTGTTTCAAATTGGTCCCTAATACAGGCAGGTGATTGGATAAAAAGACGATTCTAATCCATTCAATTGTGTGTCGAGTCCTGCACTAAGCCTGCATATGCATCATCTCTTTTGATTGCCACCCTAGCCCTGTGAACTAGACACTCTATTATCTCGGCTCTGTGGATGAGGGAACCACGGTTCAGAAAGGCTAAGTATCTTGTCCAGGGTCACCCAGCTAGGAAGTGCTGGAGCCGAGGTTCTAATCCAAGTCTGTTTGACCTTCGAGTCGGAGGGACCTTGTTACCCATTCGGAAATGGAGTCTTGGAATAAAGCAGTTGTCGCTTTGACCCTGCTTCTGATTACTCGGGTATTTCAGTTAAATGTATATGTTCTTTCTTAGCAACAGGGACATTAGGGGTCCTGTGCATAAGACTCTTCAAACCCCAGCACCAAAAAAGTTCTTTTTCCTCTTCGTTCTAGGCGAGGATGTGAAAAGGACACTTGACCCAGATACGGAGTGTCTCTTCCAATCAGCAGATCGCAGAGAATGCCTCTTAATTAAGCCGTGACCTTCACCCAGTTCAGCTGCTTCCTGTCTCTGGCTTTCTTTTCCCGCTCACACGGCTCTGAGTGAAAACCTGGACCTGGGAAGCATTAACTGTCTCCTGTCTCTCCTCGCCATTGCTCCCGTGCAGGCTCCAGTCCCCCTGCCAGCTGCCCACCGGAAGTCACTGCTGGATGTCCCAAAGCCCGCCAAGGCCAGGTGCCGGGAAGGAGGCACCTCCTCTCTTTTCTCCCAACCCGTTTTCTGGTGGGGCGCCACTGCCCCACAGCAGGTGGAATACAGGGTGGACAAAGAAGCCGCCTGAGTGGGCACCTTTCCTTTCGCTCCGAGGAACCAGGAGGCAGTAGGTCCCCCAAGGCTTCCTCCCTCACCCACAGCCTAAGCTCCAGCCGAGCTCAGTGCCCTGTCCAGTTCACCTGGCGCTGGCTGCCAGCGAGGGTGCCTCCCAGGAGTGTTACCACACCCCTACCTGCCCAACACCGCGTGAGGTTGCCTGCTGCCTCTGACGTCGAGGAAGCCTGCTGTCAAGGGCTCCATAACCCAGCCCATCTTTAATTCACTTCCTCTTCCTCTTAGATCTGTCTTTTCACTCGCACTTCATCTTACTCCGCTGCCTCTGGCTAAAATGCCTTCCCCTTCCTCGGCAAGCTTTAATCTACCCAGGTGCCATGACCTGGAAAGATAGCTTCCATTGTCTGACATTTTCCCAGCCTGCTCAGTTGTTGTAACTGCCTAGAGCCCTCTAGGATGCACTCTCTGGAATAGACACACGATCTACCCTAAAGAAGGGTGATTGACGATGCATGCCATGGTGTAGGAGGAAGCTATTGATTAGTGATGTCTGCCATGGTTGTAGGAGGGAGGCATTATTGATGAATGATGCCTGCCATGGATAAAAGAAGGGGAGACTACTGATTCGTGATGCCTGCCATGGATAGAGGAAGGAGAGTGGAAGTGGACTTTGGCTAGAGCCAATGGATATCTGCCTCTCCCATATGGTATCGCGATGGTTTGTCTTGCTCATCACGGACTACCATATCAATAAACACCCCATGCAACCTATAGCAATGGCTTGTCTTGCTTATTGTGAACTACCATACCGATAAACAGCTTATTGCAGGGGGTGGGGGAGGGGATCTGGCCAATTTCCATTCTTGATCTGCACCAGACAGTTAAGGACCCCGCTAATCATTGTCATGGCTAGTTCTGATGAGAGCTCTCAGGGTGCCGCCACCGCACCAAAGTTCGGGTCCCATCCCTCTCATTGTCTCTGCTCCCTCCGTGAAGGGGGGGGGGTGTCTCCTGCTGAGCCATTGGAGATGGGGAAACGTCATTCACAGGGATAAGGTGGCCTTTTCAGGTCAGCTGGTGGGCCCTGGGGTGTCTGGCTCCAAACTCTGGCGTGTTTCTCAGTTTCCTCCTGAGAGTGTACACTGGTGGTCAGTGTGATCCTGAACCCCTTGCTTTGGGTGAAGTCACTACAATTATATTGTAAAGTCTCTGTGGACAGACGCTTGTCATGATCTTTATTGTATTCATCCCTGACACGGAAGGACACAGTTCAATCAATCCAGAATAGATAGTCCCTGCTCTTTTGGGGGTGGGTCTATTTATCGTCTTACAATTCTCTGACATCCTAGGAATATGGGATGGAGGTCACAGGTGCATATAGAGCTTGGGGCTTGTCTCAAAATGACTCAGGGGTTCTAAAATCACTGCTCTGGGGCTAAAAACAGCTTCCCTGCTCTTAAAGAAGTTTCCAACTTCCCCAAATGCAGTATCAATAGTTTTCCACAAGAGGGCAGTAAAGACAAGGCTACCAAGCCCAACTCTTAGGCAAGCCTCATAAAGCAAGAGGAGTCTGTTGGCGAGGGTGGTTGTTTTATTGTGTTTTATTATTAATCTCAGACCACTTGTGCCACCGCAGGCTGATGCAAAGATCTAATGGACAATTTCCTTGCAACTTCCAGTAGAATGTGGGAGCGGGCATTTAGCCATTTATCCCGTTGTCCGGCCTCTATTTATTGAGCGTCTACTATAATATAGCTCTGTGCTGTCTGGGAGGTGGCCATGAAGGCTATGTAAACTGGCAAACACTGGAGCAATTGTGGAAAGACGCCTGAAGCCTGGGAGGCCCAGCGTTTGTCTGAGCCGGGAGGGCATCTTGGAAGAGGTGACATTGAGTTTTCATTGGAAGTCAAAGGTGGGCAACCCAGATAAACAGAACTGGAGAGGGACAACCCTAGGTTTCATATCTGAGATTTGTCATCCACCATAGCCCCTTCCTCGGAGGGCCTGAGCCGTGAACCCAGCGTGCCGTGCCTGAGAACCTTGGGGGTGAGGCTTGGGGGAGTGTTAGCAACAGGGCAAGGGCCTCAGGTTAATTCCCTAGGAAGCCCCTGAGAGAATCGAGTATTCTCTTTCCCTCAGTTTGGGGAACCACTGCTGGGGAAGCGGTCAGAAGCACTGTGCAGGAACTGACAATTGACACCTGGGGGCGCTAGAGAGCAGGTGCAACCCTTCCCAGAGAGCTTCACCAGGCAGAGGGAGGAGAGGTTGAGAAAGGTCCTGCTATGCGTGTTTGTCACCTCCATCACGACGATCTCACAGCAATGACAATAAAACCCTAGCTTTGATTGCTGAAAAGGGGCCACACCGGTTTTTCCGGATCTTTACAGTAATAGCTCTTCCCGGCGGGAGTCCTTACTGTTCCCATTTTAGAGTTGAACAGATGTTCATGGAGTTTAAGGATTGGAGACTCGCTAAAAAGTGCAAGATGCCAGGCCTGGTAGCATAAACCTGGAACTCCAGCTGCTCGGAGACTGAGGTAGGACTGGGCTACAGAGTGAATTCAGTCTCCAAACCACCCCTAGCCCCCGACACACACACACACACACACACACACACACACACACACACACACACGGCACACCAAGAGTGAAGATCCTCAAACTTTGTGTGCTCGTTTAACGTGGGGGTTCAGAATTCTTCTGTTTCCAGCTGCTTGTACAGAAGTCAGTCACTGTTGATCTGATCAGTAGGAAAAGGCTCCTTTCTGGGGCTTTGCTTGTTCGTTTTTCCCTTGACAATCCGTTTACCTTGAATTGAAGTGGATCGAGGGCCAGGGAGATGGCTGAGGGGACCAAGGCGTGCTAACCCGAGTTCAGTGTTTAGGATCCACATGACAGGAGAAAACCGGCTCCGCTAAGTTCTCTTCCTACCTCCGTACAATGCCAGGGCACCCCCAAAACAGCCGATCCATCAGTCGGTCAACCAATCAATGCAATAATAGACTTAAAAGCTTGAAGGCAGAGTCTTAAAATCAGTCGGTGTTTGCGAGCTGAGTAGTGGCCAATGTAGGACGTTGTATTGAGAATGGAACCCAGCCCGGGGTCCTCGTCCCTCCCTCTCCCACCCTGTGGCCCACCAGCCTGGATGGGTTCTTGCACTCCCAGCCCTGAAGGATGGTTTCCCCCTTTCCTGCCTCATGGGAAGCCAGGCATACCTCCTTTCAAGTCCAGACAGAGGCTATGTGGTCCTGGGTTGGTCTTCTAACCTCTTTGGGCCTTCTAACCTCAACGCCGGGACTGCAGGGCGTCTGGGCATGCTCAGTGCATCTGTACTCACAAAGCAGCATGGGAAAGGGAGAACAGGGAAGCGACCAGGCTGTGAAACCTCAAAGCCTGCCCCGCCCCCAGAGATTTATTTCCTCCAGCAAGACTGCACATCCTAAATGTCCCAGGACCTCTCCAAGCAGCGCCATTCGTCGGAGACCAAGTGTTCAAGCTTAGGAGCCTGGAGCCTATGGGGGACATTTCATATCCCTGTCACAGCAAGGAAGGATCCACTGAGGTGCACAAATCTAAGGTGCCTCAGCTGCTTTTATATATTGCTGAAAAAAACAAAACAAAACAAAACAAAAACCCCAAAACTGCTGCTGAGCTAGGTATGGTGGTGCACACCTGGAGACCCAGCACTTGAAAGGCTGAAGCAGGAGGATCACTGTAAGTTTGAGGCCAGCCTTGACTATAGTGTGAGATCCTCACACACACACACACACACACTCATGCATGCACACACGTGCACAGGCATACTGATGTCAGTTAAACTATATCTCAATGATGAAATGCTGTATATTGTAAGAAACACACATTTTGGTGCTATCTCATGTAATGGATGAGTTCAAGAAATGGTGACCTTGTGGTCCCCACATAAAGCCCTCAGCCTAAGTGTCTTGTTCAGAGCCACCAGTGAGTGAATATGGGCTCATTAGCCACACTGCTGTCTTGCCTAGGGTCCCTGTTGGAATTCCCTCTGCCCTCGGGAAGTCTCTCTCTAGCTCTCGCTCTCTCTTTATGCCCCCAAGCTCTTGGGAGCAGTTTCTCCCCAGGCAAGAACTTGGACCCAAGTCCCTTCAGAAACACAGAGAAAGAAAGTACGTTGCAAGACTCTCAGGGAAGATTTGACTCCTCTCTGTTCTCGGCGAGCCTGTCAGACTCCTACCTGATTCTTTGAAAGTTCGAACATTAGCTGGGTCAGCAGGGAGCCGAGCACACAGCAGAAGTTCCGTGCTGCAGCAAAACTTCTTCCTCCCGAGGCATGGTGGAGTTCTCTACCCATCCCCAGCTCTCCACTGCTTGCTCTTGGAACACTGAGGCCTTTTCAATTGCTTGAGAGTCAGCCACAAGCTGACCGAAGAGGCCAGAGGCAAACTCGGCGGCTGCCAGCTCTGCAGACCCCGAGTGACGAGCCAGGAGCCCCTGTCCCCCACGGCTGGCAATTGACAGAAGAAACTAGGCATCTATCACTGGGCTGAGTGGGGTTTCCTGGCGGGTTCATGGTGCACACATCCAGTTCCACCATTGCCTTGGCCTCCTGGTGCCCAGCCCTGTTAACACAGAGAATGTCTCCGTTGCCTCAGCCTCACAGCTTTGTGCACACACACTGCACACACACTGCAATACTACACACACTGCACATACTGCACACACGCTGCACACACACTGCACACACTGCACACACTACACACACACTGCACACATAGTCTCTATTGCCATGGTCCCCTCCATGGAGCCCTGTTGCACGCACAGTCTATCCACTGCCCTCGCCTTGTGGCTTTGGACATGTCTTGCTTCCACATGAACCCAAATTAGTAGAGAGAGGTAGAGACAACCCAAGCTTCTCTACTCTTGAGAAAGGCATTTAAAAAAATAAAAAAAAATAAAATAAAATAAAAAAAGAAAGGCTGGCCTGGGCTCTTCTAGGACTTGGCCTTTTCAGATGCCCCATATGCTCACACAGGCCGAAAACAACATGCCCCAGACCCTGGTGACCCCAGGGGGTATTCTGCAGGGCCAGAGTGATACCCACTTGCTTGCCCCATGGTCAGGGCAATCTCCCCACCTCTTTGAGTAGCAGACCTCACCTGCTGCTCTGAAAAGGTGATGCCAGTGTGTACTGTTCTAGACCCTACCGCTTCCACCAGTGACAGTCCCCAAGCATGCAGATTCCCAGGCAGTTTTTTCTTTTATTTTGTAAAAATAAGCCGTATTTTGCCTTTTTTCTGCCTGTTGGCTGATCCTCCCCCTTGAGAGCCAAGGAGGGTGAGGCAGTGTTGGCCTAGGGAAGGAAGGTAGGCAGATCTCTGCAGGGGGGCGGATGCCACAGCCCCTGAGTGCCCAGCAGAGGGGCTGGCAGAGAGGGGGAAGCAAGGACTAATGGGACCAGCTCATATCCCAAAGAGATGGCATCGACTGAAGCCTCCACTGACACCAGACCAAGATGCAGAGTCAAGGTAAGATTTCTCTGTGGCGAGGCCATTGCCACACAAGCCCAGCCTCCGGACTTCCTCAAATCCAGCAGGTTGTTCAAGTAGAAAGTCTTTCCCAACCATTGCCTCTAATTCCCGCTTAGCAGAAAACCTGACCTGAATGGTTATGAAGTTAGTTGTAGTTGTAACTTTTGTGTGTCATATGTTACCAAATGTAAGATTAATAAAATGTCACGCAGAGAGCTAATCTTCTGGGTCAGAGGGCACCACTGGGGATG